TTGCTTGTTTGGGCTGTCTGCTGCCCCCAGCAGATATCAGGGTATTTTAGATCTCCCATGACCACCGCCTCCCTCGCCTGCGTGGTGTCTGCTAGCTGCCCAGAGAATACATCGTCTAGCTCTAGATCCTGATGAGGAGGCCTGTAGTAGACCCCCACAACCAAGTCCTTTTCCCCTGCCCCCCCCTGGATCCTGATCCACAATGCCTCAGTATTCCCCTCCTCTACCCCTGCCTTGATGATGGAAGATGTGTACTGCTCCTTAACATAGAGAGCTACACCCCCGCCTTTTTTCCCCACTCTGTCGTGTCTATACAACCTGTACCCCTCAATGCCTACTGCCCAGTCATGCATAGAATCCCACCATGTTTCAGTTAAGCTGACTAGGTCATGCTGTGTGCTAGCAAGTAAGAGTGTGAGGTCCTCCACAGATTGTTCATGCATTGTGTTTCTCTCTTAATAAATGCACTTTTACAGAGTAGAACTCCTGTCTCTTCTCGTATGTCTCAACCCTGACCATGCCTTAAGCATAACTGTTCAGGCAACAACCTCATCCCCTGCAGGAGACAAATAGGAGCCACATGACCCAGAAGGGGCTGAGCATGCAGTCTGGTCCTTGAGGCTGCTGAGAGAAATCTGAGCAGGATGGCTGCAACTCCTGAATGACAGGAGATTATAGCCTGTGGTAACATCTGGAGGTTTGGGAGGGACTAAGCAGACCTAAAAGACCCAGGAGCAGGGCCAGCATAGGCATTGACTTTGGTTTTTGCCAGTGATTGCTTGCAGACATGAAAAAAACCTAAAACAACACTTTAAATTCCCCACATTCCCGCAGCAAGCCCCACACATGCCCAAAAGAGGCAGCATGTTACTTCAACCTGGCTCTGGCACCAGCATGTGCAAAGATGAGCCACTTTAGTGGGGCTTTTTGGTGCCGATTGAATCAGCTTCAGTTAAAAGCACCAAAAAGCCACAGTGAAGCACCCAATCTTTACAGATGCTGCAGAACTGGGTTGAAGTAATACACTGCTGCTTCCAGTAAATCACATTTTTTAATGTCTGCAATCAGCCTGTGGCTGTGGCTCATGGGTGCTGAGAACCCACTAGTTTTTTTCGGTGGGTGCTTGAGCCCTGAAGCACCCACAAAGTCAGTGCCTATGAGGGCTAGGGCTCAGGAGCAGGGATGGAGCCTGCGTGAAGGGAGAGAAAGGACCAGGGTTGGTCTAGGTGCTTAGAAGTGAAACAGAGATGGGACCAGAGAAGGTCGAGTACCTGGTGGGGACCAGAAGGGTTTGGTGACCAGGGGGGACTGGGTACTTGGGAGTAGTGCAGAGATAGAAGCTAAGGTGGGCTCAAGGACAGAGCCAGAACAGGCTCAGGCCCAGGAGTAGGGAGGAGTGAATGAGATCTTAGCCGAGGCGTGGGTACTGGGGAGGACACCCAGGTAGTTAGCCCTTGAGGCAAGAAGCATTCAAATCCTAGCTCATAAGCAGATGAGAGCTTGCTCAAGAATCCCTGGGGCTCCTTTGTCTTAAAGGTATAGGTATATCAAGGTATGGCAGGTGAACAGAAGGGGAGGATCAGGATAAAGCAATGGCTGAATAGCCACCAGGGGTGTCACTGCCACTCCTGGGACAGGCCTTTGGTACAGGCTTAACCCTCCCTGTCCACTTTAGTGTGTTTCTATCACTACCTTCTTATCTCTCTTGATCCCTTGTGTCCTTCCCACATCAGACAGAAAAAATGGATTCATGGTTTCTTGAAGAAAAGGTTTCTTTCCTCCCACCTCAGTGCAGATGGGCCCTGAGTGTGACACTGCCTACTCCCTTCAAGCACTGAGCAAGATGGGTCACTGTAAGGAGGTGGCAGGTTGCTACTGGAAGGAGAATATACCGTGGGGGTAGGAGACTGGCACCACTGTTTGTTCCCAGAAACATTCCCTCTCACGGGGCACCACGGGACGTTCTGGCTTATCTCGACACCATAGATGATTGCTGCCACCAGGCTGGCCACAATGACGAGGGTACTGATAATGCAGCAGGCTTGCACCTGTATCAATTACATCATGACAGTGAATCAGAAGACAGCAAGGCATTGAGATAAAAGTGTGAAGAACCATGATGCTGGGTGCTGCATAAATACATAACAGGAGACAGTTCATGCTCTAAAATCCATCCAAACCAAAGGGACAGGAGAGAAGCAAAGTTAAACCCATTACCCTTCATTTCACAGAGAGAAAACTGAGGTGCAGAAAGGTTAGGGGACTTGCCTAAGGTGATGTAGCAGGTCAGCAGCAGAGTTGAAAATTGAATTCAGGTTGTCTGAGTTCCAGCCACAAAGCTGCCCTTTGTGAGGGTTCACCAGCACCTCAGATGCTACGATTCTGCACACTGTGCTTCACACCTCAGGACTCTGCTGTCAGCAGGGACAGGCAACTATTTTGTGTCCAGGTCCTTTCCCAGAATTGGCACATGCATGATAAGCAATGTTTTTTAATACCACTCTTTACCTAATGAACATCTCTTCCATGTCATGGGCAAATAGCTGTGGGTACCTATATACCAGTGCGGAAGCAGCTTTGACGTGCTGGAATTTCAGAGCATCAGAGTAGACTCAATTAATGGAGTCTGCTGGAGCATGGCAATTGTTGCACTCCAGCAGCCTCCTGCGTTTTGTGTATCAGCATCCCTGCACTTAAAAATGGTGGTGGTGGCACTTAAACTAAAGCTCATTAAATGAGCTTTATTCCAAGCACCCTCGCTGCCATTTTTAAGTGCGGGGGGGCTGATACAGGAGGTACAGCAGCACTTTAATTAGAGCAGCTCTGGGAGCAGCAGTAAAAGTGCCTTATGGTGTTAAAACTTCCACTCCCCTAATATGAACATGAGGGGATGGGCACTTTCCATGGAGGAGGACCAACAGGGCTGGAATTCAGGTCTGTCACTGGTCTGCCACTGTCCATTTTTAGGTTGCAGTGTATCTTTCTAAGCAAGTGAATGTTGGAGCTGTGCTCTTGAAGAGGGATGGGGACTTATAATGCCTGATTTCATGAGCTGTGGGGCCTATGAATGCACAGTGATATTGATGGCTTGTGTTGTCATTCCAGGTGAGATGTACTCAGTGTAGGACAAGAGAAAGATAGGTAAACGTGGTTAACACCACCTCTACACATCTGGCTGCTGCCTTTCCTACCTCCCTGTGTAAGTGAGCAACAGCCTTGAAGCAGCTGCACTGTACATGCAGGTGACCTACGGCCTCCTCACAGCCATAAACAACTGTGAACTGCAAGGATGCAGCCACACACCCTTAAGCCCCACTCCCGCAACCAGTGGAAAACATGGGGTGTATTTACCATCGAAGCGTTGTCTCTTTTTTCAGTTTCCACCAGCAGGGATCCTGAGACCGTGAGCTGTTCAGGAAATAGAAAATGGAAAAAAATCATCAGTGAGTCCCCTTCCCCATTCATGATCACATGCACATCAGAACTGGGTAGTAAATACATGCCAAATTCATGTGCCAGGAAATTAACCTTGTAAGATATACAGCAACATATTGTTCTCTTTCGGGATGAGCTGCAAGGAAACCCAAAGTCAGGTGGCAGGGGATTAACATTTGGAGCAAGGCCTCTCAGGCCCATGTCACGTGTAATTTTTCTCACTCTCCATATTTTCCCATCCACAGTATCAGCTCCACATTTAGGACTGTTTTTCTGCTGTTCTCTAGAACAGGTGCCTGAATGTCTGGTCTCACAGTGCCATCTGGTGGACATTGATGGTCATGGCAGCATAGGTGTGACACCTAAGTGAGAAGTTTCCTTCCTTTCCTTTCACATCCCTATCCATCCCTAATTTAAAGCAGAAAAGAGACAGGATCCTCAAGTAAAGCTACTAAAATTGTGCCAGTCTGAACTGAAACAGTACCATCCCAGTGTGGCACCAGTATTGGTGCACATAAAGTGTCAAACAAAGGTGGCTACACTGTGTCTAATTCAAGAGCCTACTGGAACTGAACTTAGTATTACAGGCTTAGTTTAACCAACTTTTGTGTAGCACTGTGCATCCATCAGTAGGTTCTGCCTCTCAGCAAAGCTTATTGGGTAGCATGTAAGGCTACTCTCAGTGTGCAGGCACACAGCGTAATTTATCCTGGATTTTACTCCATAATAATCTGACTTCAGAGTAAGGAGCAGACACACAACCAACTCCTCCAACCTGGCTACTCACAGAAGGTGCTGTTAGGGTGCTGGCTGCTAGATGGTGGAGGAGCTGGTTTGCACTAAGCAAATGCTACCCAGGAATAAAATTCACTAGGGAAGTAGACAAATGACAGGTACATAAGTTTAACTTACACTGAGGAACATGGGATACAGGACTGTATCCCTCCCACCACTTTCTGAGGGGTAAATTGTCCTATTGGGAGTGACTTTAGTTATTTATTCAATTTATATCCCACCTTATCAAAAAGGCACTGAGTGGTTTACAGTGAACAAACTACCCACTAGAGCTGTGCAAAAAGGCAGCGTTCCATTTCGACCAGGGTTTTGACATTTCAGCGGAACAGCATTTTGTTTCAAATTTTGTTTTGATTCAAAACAGCTGTTCCATTTTGTTCTGTCAAAACAAGGTCGAAATGGAGAAATTGTTTCAATGTTTCTCCCATAGGATATAATGGGGAAGGACAAAACAGCCTATAACTTTGTCATTTATGGCTTGATTTGGATGACTCTTGTGGAAATGGTAGCCCCTTCTGAGGGCATGAATCTTGCCAAGTTTCAAGGAGATAGGTGCAGGAGGTTCAGGAAAACTGCACCCCAAATTTTGAAAGCAAAACTTGTGTCACGTGTATGTGTTAAGCCACAGTGGGGTCAGAACTGCAGGCATACTAGCCCCTACTGAGACCACAAAGCCTGCCAAGTTTCAAGGAGATAGGCACAGGGGTTTGGGGGAAACTGCACCTCAAGCTGTGGACAAGCAAAACTCATGACATGGGTGACACTGTGTGTGTTAAGGTGCAGCAGGGTGAAAGCTGCAGGCCTGCTAGCCCCTGCTGAGGCCACAAAGCCTGCCAGCTGTCGAGGAGATAGGTGCAGGGGTTCTGGGTTCTGGGGCCCTGCACCACTGCCTGCTGACAGGCAAAACTTGTGTCATGGGTGCTTGTGCAACTGTGTCTGTTTTGGGGCATGGAGGGGGAAAACAACTGCAGGCCTGGCTGCTAGGCCCTGCTGCAGCTACAAAGCCTGCCAGCTGTTAAGGAGATAGGTGCAGGGGGGCTTGGGGGCCCTGCACTCCTAACTACTGACAGGCAAAACTCGTGACATGGGTGCTTGTGCTAGCTAGCTACTGTGTTACGCAATCAGTCATGATTCACTCAGGGACCAGCTCAATACACAGTAGCTAGCTAGGATAATGAGTTAATGAGCAAGGATTAACACCTACAAAACCACAGACTAAGGAGCTCCCCCACCCCGGTGCCCCAAGATAGACACAGTTGCACAAGCACCCATGTCACAAGTTTTGCCTGTCAGCAGCCAGAAGTGCAGGACCCCAGAACCCAGAAGCCCTGCACCAATTTCCTTGACAGCTGACAGACTGTGGCCTCAGCAGGGGCTACCACTCCTGCAGCTTTCATCCTGCTGCGCCTTAACACACACAGTGTCACTCATGTCACGAGTTTTGCTTGTCCACAGCTTGAGGTAGAGTTTCTCCTGAACTTCTGCACCTATCTCCTTGAAACTTGGCAGGCTTTGTGGCCTCAGTAAGGACTAGGATGCCTGCAGTTTTGACCCCACTGTGGCTTCAGAAA